GTACGTCTGCATGTATGTATATATTTACGTCTGTATGTCTGTACGCAAGCATGCATATATGATAATGAATAGGTGTATATATACATATATGTATGTGTGTATGCGGGTATATATACATGCGTTTATGTATGTTTTATATATGTATGCATGTATGAATGTATGCATGCATGCATGTATGCATGCATGCACGTATGCAGGCAGGTATGCATGTACGTATGCATGTACGTACGTACGTCTGTTTGTATGTACGTATGCGTACATGCATGCATGCATGTATGGACGTATGTATGTATGTAGAGATGCATGCATGCATGCATGCATGCATACATGTATATTTGTATGTATGTTTACACATGTATGAAGGCATGCATGTACGCATGTTTGTATGTACGATTGATGCGTGTATGTATGTCTGTATGTATGCATGCATGTGTGTATGTAGGTGTGTGTGCCTGTATGCATGCACAAATACATGCATTCATGCATGTATGCATGCATGCATGCAATAATATATGTATATATGTATGTGTGTGTATATATATATGTGTGTATGCATGTACGTATGTTTGTGTGTAGGTATGTATGTATGCAGGTATGTATGTATATGTATATGTATGTATGTCTGTATGTATATATGTCTGTATGTATGTATGGAGGCATGCATGCATGCATGCCTGCATACCTGCTTTTATGTATATGTATATATATATATATATATATATATATTAATATGTAGGTAGGCATGTCTGTATGTATGTTTGTATGTGCATTTACGTGTATATGTACGTATGTCTGTATGTATGCATGCATGTATGTATGTACGTATGCATGCATGCATGCATGCATGCATGTATGTATGTATGTATGTATGTATGTATGTATGTATGTGAATATGTATGTGTGTACGTACATGTGTCTGCCTGTTTGTCTGTCTGTCTGTATGTACGTACGTATGTATGTAGCACCCCGCAGCTGCGGATAAGAATCAGGGGGCGGCGGGGGCGCCGGCAGTCTGTGAGGCAATGAGGAAGCCCGCCGCAGGCGTCATTTGCAACAATAAGTCCACAATGAGCCCGCCGCAGGCGCCAATTTTTTCGTTGGAGCAGTGATGGTGGGTCGCGGGGTGGGTCGCGGGTGGGTCGCGTGTGGGTCGTGGGCCGGGTCCCGGGCTGGATCGCGGGTGGGTCGCGGGTGGGTCGCGGGTGGGTCGCGGGTGGGTCGAGGGTGGGTCGCGGGGTCGGTCGCGGGTGGGTCGCGGGTAGGTCGCGGGTGGGTCGCGGGGTGGGTCGCGGGTGGGTCGCCGGTGTGTCGCGGGGGGGACGACGCCAAACAACAACAGCATCGACAGCAACAACAACAATCACAACAACAACAATAACAACAATCATTTTAAGACTATTCGCTCCTATCTGCTCACGTGCCAATCAATACGTATATCCCAAACCCTCGGTACCCGCCCTCGCCGTCTTCGATCGTACCCCCTTGGGGGTATATCTTCCTTGCCTGCCACGTGCATGTAGTGCAGCCCCTAAAACAAGGGAAGAGAAGACGGGTGGAAGAGCGAGGGAGAAGAATGGAACACGAGAGAAATTAGCAGGAGGGGGGCAAGGAGCAGAAAACAACTGGTATAACCAGACGGGCAGACGGGTGGGCAGACCCATAGCGGGCAGGTCGGGAAGGCGGGCCCAGGCGACCAGGTCGAGCAGGCGGGTTGCTGAAGCGTGGGTCCTGCATGAATCGCGAGGAAGTCTCGAGCGATAGCGCGATTCCCGAGTAAATCGTGAGAAAATCCGAAGCGAGAGCGTGATTCCTGAGCGCCGAGGGCGCATCGTCTGAATACATCCCAAGGAAATCCCACGCGAGAGCGCGATGCGTATATGAATTGTGAGGAACTCCCGCGAGAGAGCGATTTGGCAATACATTGTCAGGAAATATCAAGCGGGAGCCGTTGTTTTTGTAAACCGGATGCCAGGGGCCCAGTTTGAACACCGTGACTTTCCCTGTTAAAAACAGGGTGTGAGCCCCGGGGGAAGCACACCTGAGGGGGGGATCAACAAACAATTATTCTTCAGTAGAGATAGTTCAAGAGCAACAACAGCACCAACAACAGCACCAACACCAACAACAGCAACAACACCAACAACAACACCACCACTACCAACAACATCGACAACAACACTACCACCACCAACACTAACAACAACAACTACACCAACACAACACCACCACCACCACCAACAACATCAGCATAAACAACAACAGCAGCAACAACACTCGTTCTACCCTCATGCGCCATGTTTCCACGTGCCACATGCATACATCATGATAACTATCCCCATCCTGGGGATCATTATCTTGGCGCATGAGGGTCCGAACAACCAGAACTCCCGCCCGAGGAGGTCTCGCGAACACCTCTTCCGAGGAACTTCAAAATACCTGCTCGGAAAGCACATCGCCATCGAAATTCCTTTGCCCGCGCCCTGCGTCGCGGAGGAGAAGA